CACCTCTGCGACTGCGTCGCGGAAAGAGTGGCACGAGTGGGTGCGGACGGGCATTGATGCTGGCGGTCGCAACGCTCAGAAGGCCATCAAAGACCCTGAACCCTGGAAGCCCACTACCACCTTAGCCAGATGTGGAACTGTTGTTTGCGACCCAGTGTCTTTGCTGCAGGCCGAGGGCGATAAGTTTGCCGCCATCTGGGGCTCTGGCAAGGGCGAAGGTGTGGGCCATGACCTTTTGCCCCATGGCCGTGTTTTAGAGCCAGCCGAGCTTCGTGTGATTTCCAAGAAGTATCGGACTTCCTCTGCTGTGAGTGTGGACGGTTTCCACTGTCGTCATTTTTGCCTTCTCCCCAATGAGGCTTTGCGTGCCCTGGCCCTTTGGTTTGCCGTTTGGGAAGCCACTGGCGATTTGCCCAGGCAGCTCTCTTGGGTGCTCATGGCCTTGCTGGCCAAGCCGACTGGTGGGTTTAGGCCCATAGGGGTCTTTCCGAGCCTGTACCGCCTTTGGGGTCGTGCCCGTCGTCATGAGGCTCTGCAGTGGGAGCTCACCCATCCCAGAAGGTACTGGGCTGCGGGGGCCAACAGGGGAGCGGGTGACGTGGTTTGGAGGCAGGCCTTCAGGGCCGAAGCGGGTACGTGTAAGAAAGAGGTTTCGGCCTCCATCTTCTGGGACCTCAGGAAGTATTATGAGCACATCGACTTGAAGTATCTCTGGCAGCAGTGCGTGCAGCATTAGTTTCCTTTGCCGCTGGCGAGACTGGCCATCAGAGCGTATTCGTGTGCTCGCTTCCTGGCCCTGGGTGGCATCATTCAGGGTCCGTTTTTCGTCTCCAAGGGTTTGGTGGCGGGTTGCTCTCTTGCGACCAGCCTCATTCGCGTTTTTGCCATGCAGGCCTTTGATGAGGCCCTTGTGGCGATTCCCAGGGGCCCTGGAGGAACGACTGACTTCGATGCCTACGTCGATGACCTTAGTCTCAGCTGCACTGGTCCTGCTAAGGTAGTTGTTGCCAGCCTCACTGCTGGAGCCAAGGCGCTTCACCGAGCCATCACGGCGACGCTCGAGTGCAAGCTGGCCATGGACAAAGTGGGTATGGTCAGTAACTCCCCTGATGTTTCCAAAAAGCTTTCGGATGCCCTGGGGCCTCTTGTGGGGCCGGCCTAATCTCGGGTGACCAATTTAGGTTCGGATTTCACTGCGGGCAGACCTGTCCGTTCTAAAGTCCGCTCGTCCAAGTTAAAAGCGAGAGCGGCGGCTGCGCTGAGGAAGACCAGAAAGCTTCAGGGCCTCCAGGAGGCCCTCGGCCGTAAGTGTTTGAAGGTTTTTGCGGCGTGTCCTATGGCTGGAGCCGTCTACGGCTCGGATTTGTTTGAGGTTTCGGACAGGGAGCTGCTTAACCTCAGATGGATGGCCATGTCGACGGTCAAACCCAGAGCCCAGGGACGCTCTCTTAGTGTCTTGTGTCTTCTCTCGGATGACCCCACTTGGAGGGGCAGTTGTGCGCCTGTCATCCGCTGGGCCAAAGAGGTTTGGACCCTGCATACTCATGGGTTTCCGTGGACCTTGAGTTGGGCTGAACTCAGGGATGGCTGGAATGCCGTCTTTGCGTCTGATGACCACTCTTGGTCCAAAGTGGCGGGGCCCATCTCTGCCCTGCATATGACTTTGTTTAGGCTGGGTTGGGCCATGCCTAATGTTTGTACCATCATTGATGATTTTGGCCGCGAAATCTCTCTGACCTTGTCGTCTCCCAAGCTCATCAAGCTTTACTGTAAGGAAGCCCATCTTCGGGGTCTTGAAAGAGATTCTGGGGGCAAATATGGTTGTGGTGTCAGGCTTTGTTGGGATGTGGTCAAGCAGCTTTTGTCTTCCAGGAAGGTTTCAAGTAAAGCCAAAGGTTGGATCCGTGCTCAGGCCACTAGAGCTTGCTGGACGGCAGGTGATGTGGCTGCTGCTGGGTACGATTTGTCCGACAAGTGTGCGTTGTGCGGCAAGGGCCGCGACACTCTCTTCCACAGGCTCTTCGCGTGCCCGTGCGTGCAGTCTAAGAGGGATGCGGTGCTGGACAACAGTAATCAGAATGAAGCGTTGGAGCTAGGTGCGGATCACGTTGACATGTGCCTGTATTTGTACGGAGCTTTCCAACATCCTGGAGGCTATGCACCGCCGCCGCTCACCGACGGAGGCACCAGTCTGGAATGGTTCGTTGATGCGCTTCCTGACCCATCAGACCTTGCTGCTGCTCCCTCTATTCCTCCCTCCTTCGGGCTCTGGGGGGACCTCTTTATGGGCGGCTCATGCCGTCGTCATGTAGTGCGTGAGCTCTCCAGGGCTGGCTGGGCCGTTGTCGTGGTCTCGAGTTCGGGCGAGCGCCTCGGGGTCTAGAAAGGTCCTTTGTGGGCTCCGTGGCCTCAGACCCCCAGGGATCCGAGTTTGGAGCTCTGGCCTGGACCGCTGTGCAAACCGAGGGCCCCGCTATGTGCTATTCTGACTGTGCTAATGTAGTGTATTTAATGAATCTTGGTGCTGCTGACGGTATTAGTGCCAAGCGACAGTATGCTGGTCAAATCATTCAGGCCAGACATTACTTCGGCCCCAACCTTATCTCGTTAACTAAGGTTGAGGCCCACAGAGATGTTGACGAGGAGGGGCTCTCTGCGCATGAGAAATTCTTGCGAAGAGGGAACTTCTACGCTGACGTCTATGCCAAGGAGGGTGCAAGCCAGCACCCTGAGATGACTCCTACAGAGCAGGAGGCTCTCGACCATCAGATCAAGGTATCGAGGGCGATCTTGCTGGCGGGAGCGGAGCTCTTGCCACTTTGGCCGGAGCTGGAGTTTCAAGGCCTGCCGCATTTCCCTCCGACGCCTGGCCCTGTGGCTCCCGTTTTAGAGCTCGTCCACGACTGGTCCCAACAAGGTTCCTCCTGGCGGTGTCGTGTGTGTCTTCGTGGATCCCGCTCGAAGTCCAAACCGCTGGGAGGACCGTGCCCTGGGCATTCCCGTTTGGACCAGGGGCTGTTGGAGAGACTGGGCCACCGAGTCATTGCCTTCCCTTGCAGTGACGGTGGCCACCTGTTCTTGTGCATGACGTGCACGTTTTATTCTAGCGGTGAAAAGGTCCTTGGTTTGTCCCGTAAGTGCGGGCCCCCGACGGAGACAGGTTTCAGAAATTTGAGACGGCTCCGTAAAGGACAACACCTTGATAAGAAGGGTGTCTCGGTCGATATCGACGAATTCACCCCGCTATTATAAATTACAGGTTAATTATCTTGCCTTCAGTGCGCCTCTGGCTGTCTGTGCAAGAACACTTCACTTTCAGGGGCATGAATGCTGCATTCAAAAAAGAGGAGGGAGGAGGGAGGAGGGAGGAGGAGGGAGGAGGGAGGAGGGAGGAGGGAGGAGGGGAGGAGGGAGGAGGGGGAGGGGGGAGGGGGGAGGGGAGGAGGGGGGAGGGGAGGAGGAGATGGAGGAGGGAGGAGGGGGAGGAGGAGGGAGGCGGAGGAGGGAGGAGGGAGGAGGGGAGGAGGAGGGAGAGGAGGGGAGGGAGGGAAGGAAGGAGGGGAGGAGGGAGGGGGGGGTTGGAGGGAGGAGGAGGAGGGAGGAGGAGGAGGGAGGATGGGAGGAGGGGAGGAGGGAGGAGGAGGGGGGAGGGGAGGAGGAGAGGGAGGGAGGAGGGAGGGAGGAGGGAGGGAGGGAGGGAGGGAGGGAGGGCGGGCGGGCGGGCGGCGGGCGGGGGCGGGAGGGAGGGAGGGAGGGAGGGAGGGAGGGAGGGGAGGGAGGAGGAGGAGGAGGAGGAGGAGGAGGAGGAGGAGGAGGAGGAGGAGGAGGAGGAGGAGGAGGAGGAGGAGGAGCGTGAGAGGAGGAGGAGAAGAAGGTGGAGGAGGAGGCAACGGAGGAGGCAACGGAGGAGGCAACGGAGGAGGCAACGGAGGGGGCAACGGAGCAGGCAACGGAGGAGGACGGGGAGAGGGGGCGGCAGCGGACAGGTGGAGGAGGACGAGGCGGCGCGGGAAAGAGGCGGCGGACAGCGGGCACGTGGAACGCAGCCCGTGGCTGGGTGGCGGACAGGGGCACGGGGGCGACGCTGGGGGACGATGTCTTGCGGCCGAGCTTGGGTATCGGGGCAGTCCCCGTGACCGCCCCTCGCGATTTTGGGAGGTTTAGGCACCGTACCCCAAGGACCAACGGGAGCTCGCCTCCCCTTTATGCCTGGGGGTCGGCGTTGGGCTTCGCTTACAGAGCGCAGGGGGCGCTGGCGGGGCGGGGCACCCGACTCCAGTAAACAGGATGCCGGGGTGCTCAGCGAAGGCGCGTGTCCAAATGCTATGATTTGGGCAGATGTTCAGATCATCCCGCAGTGGCGCGAACGAAGGCGAGCTTCGCTTTGGCAGCCTGGGGCCGCGAGGCTGCCCTCCGCAGGGGGCGACACGTATGTAACTGCGCTGCGCTTCGCGCGCCCGGCGCGAGGGAGGAGTAAGGGCGACGTGGCTTGGGGGGGGGGACGAGAGTGCAGCGTGCCAATCGTAACGAGTCGCTGCGTTGCGGCCGTGGGGGGGAAAGGGGATGGGGGGGACCACGCAAGGAGGGTAGAGGCGTATGCGAATTGTGGATGTACCAGCCTATCCTCGATTGTAGGCTTGCCCTAGTTAGTTTTTCTTCTTCTCTTCCTTTTCGTTTTTTCATGATGCTTCAGATTCTGCTACTGGGTAGTCCTTGCAGCATTGGCCACGGCGTGCACGGTTTACTCGAGGTGTTGCGGTCGTTCATTTCCGTTGCCTCCGATTTCTCCCAAATCCGAAGGAAGGGTGAGGGAGAGGCGAGGCAGAGGATAGAGGCGGGAGGGAGGCGATGCCTTCCGTCCTGCCCTTGGGTGCGCTGTCTTCGTCGTTATCATCGTCGTCGTCGTCGTCGTCGTCGTCGCGGCGATGGTGGTGGTCGTGGTGTCGTGATCGCGGTCGTGGTCGTGATCGTCTTCGTCATCTGGAACCTCCGCGGAGGAGCTTCCGCAGCTGCAGTCCGATGCGCTCTTCGCCGTGCTCGGTGTGCGGGGGGGGGGGAAGCATTACACACCAGCGCATCATGTTTCGGACGTCTCCGGCCAATTCGCGCCTGTAGCCATTGCACGGAGACGACACCAGATCACGGCGATTGTGGTACTCTTCAGGTGGCCTAAGGTGGCCACCGATACCTAGGATCGGTTTCCCCATGTGGAAGCGCGTCTGCCGATTCCCGAACGGCCTCCGGAACGGCGCGCCTGGAAGTGCGGGGGAGGTCCGATGCCCGTGGACAGTTGCCTTCTGTGGACGTCTGTAAGGCACGTTTGCATTCGCGACCGCTCAGCAGGTCAACCCAACAAAGCCGACGTTGCCCTTCATAATCCTTGGCTCGCTGTGCCACGTATGCTCCAGCTTGCCCGTGCCGTCGTGCCTCTTGAAGGCACCCGGGTCCTCTCGGATGTCCAATGTCCTGTGTCGCCACCCTCCCCAGGGGCCCGATGTTGTTATTGTTCGAGGTGTGGCCCTCGGAGCCCCTGTGCCCCCCCTGGGCTGGTCACTCGCCGCGCGTCGTCCTCTGATGACCCCGGAGCCCGCAGCGGGCCCCCAGGGGTCTAAGGTAGAGGAAGACGCTGGCCGTATTGAGATTTCTGTGTCGCGTGGATATTTGGGGGTTCTGTGTGCGGGTGGCGCTCAGAGGAGGATAGGGGGCGAGAGTTGTTTGTTGGATGGGGGCGGGGGTCATATCTGTTGCGGCAAATGTTCATAGACACCGGGAGCCGCGAGGGCTTCTAAGGGCTCCCTCCCCTGCGTCGTAGGAGGGCCCCTGCCCACGTCTCGCTCCGTTCGGCACGCCGCGGAGTGTGGGCTTCTGCCCCCTCAGGCCTGGCGTCCCCCTCGGTCGCCTTCCTCGGCCTGGCGCAGTGCGAGGGGGGCCAGCACACCATAGCCCGCGGCTCGGATTCCCGCCGCCGTCGTTGTGCTTGGCGTGGTCATCGTGGTTGTCATCGTCGTCGTCGTCGTCGTTATCTTTGCCCTGGGCGACGTCGTCGTCGTCGTCGTCGTCGTCGTCGCGGTGGTGGTTTTGTCTCTATCCGCCGATGGGTGTCCGAGCGGATCTGAATCCCCCCAAACGACCCCATCGTGTGATGCTCAATCAAGCAGGGAAGCTGTGCATTTGCACTGGAGGGGGATGAGAGCAGGAGGAAGAGGAGGATGAGGGAGGAGGAGGAGGAGGAGGAGGAGGAGGAGGAGGAGGAGGAGGAGGATGCTCATCATGATGATGCGGTGATGACGTGATGGCGATGATTATCCTGATGGTCTCCAGACTCCTCCTGCACACCATCCTGACCAGTTTCCGAGCTGGGCCCTGTGGTGGCGACGAGGTCCCCTCCAGTCACCCCGACGAATGAGGAGGAAGAGTAAGAGAACGAACGAGTAGGTGGAGGAGGAGCAGGAGGAGGAGGAGGAGGAGGAGGAGGCGAAGAGGAAATCGCCCAACATGCTCCTGTGCCTCCTGTTCGGCCTCCTCACCAAGTGACCCACAGGACCTCCCAACAAGAACACCTTGTAGTCCTTTCGAACAACCCGTAAAATTCTTGAATACCCATCCAAATTCTCATCCCTCCTTCTTTCCCTCACCTCTTCATTCCTCCTTCTACCCCTCATCCTTCCCTCTCCTTCTCGCGAGGAGGTGGATGATACCGAGGGGGAGGAGGGGGCGGTGGAGGATCATGAGGAGGAGGAGGAGGACGAGGAGGAGGAGGAGGAGGAAGAGGAGGAAGAGGAGGAGGAGGAGGAGGAGGACGAGGACGAGGAGGAGGAGGAGGATGAAGCAGAGGAAGGATGAGGAGAAGGAGGAAAGCGGGCGGGATAGGAGGAGGGGGAGTGGAGAGGGGGAAGACGAGGAGGATCTGCCCCTCTGGTCGGTATTCGGGTCACATCTCGGGTCTGGGCCGGCAGTTCGGTACGAGTCTGGACTCCCCTTGAAATCCGTAAGGGCTTCGCCCCCTGCCGCCGGCCCCCTCTCTCGGAGAATGGGCCATGGAAGAGCTTAGTCATGAGGCCTTGGCGCTGTCGTGAAGCAGTATCGAAACTTCATGCGAAGCCGATTCGCAATCAGCAAAACCAACTGATCACAAGAGGGGTTACCACACCTGGCGATTGGTAAGACGTGTATGGTTTACGGGCTTGGTTACCACACCTTGCGATTAAAGGGCCGAGGGAGTTCTCGCAGTTTGGGTTACCACGCCTTGCGATGGATGTGCGTGAAGGGTGGCACCGAATTTCAGAAATGTGGCAAATCCCCTGTGTTTTTGGACCCTGACCCCGCGGATCTGCGTGAGGGGTGGCACCGAATTTCAGAAATGTGGCAAATCCCATGTGTTTTTGGACCCTGACCCCGCGGATCTGCGTGAGGGGTGGCACCGAATTTCAGAAATGTGGCAAATCCCTTGTGTTTTTGGACCCTGACCCCGCGGATCTGCGTGAGGGGTGGCACCGAATTTCAGAAATGTGGCAAATCCCATGTGTTTTTGGACCCTGACCCCGCGGATCTGCGTGAGGGGTGGCACCGAATTTCAGAAATGTGGCAAATCCCTTGTGTTTTTGGACCCTGACCCCGCGGATCTGCGTGAGGGGTGGCACCGAATTTCAGAAATGTGGCAAATCCCATGTGTTTTTGGACCCTGACCCCGCGGATCTGCGTGAGGGGTGGCACCGAATTTCAGAAATGTGGCAAAATGACCCCGGATCTGCGTGAGAAATGTGGCAAATCCCGGATTTGTGTTTTTGGCAAATCCCATGTGTTTTGGACCCTGACCCCGCGGATCTGCGTGAGGGGTGGCACCGAATTTCAGAAATGTGGCAAATCCCTGTGTTTTTGGACCCTGACCCCGCGGATCTGCGTGAGGGGTGGCACCGAATTTCAGAAATGTGGCAAATCCCATGTGTTTTTGGACCCTGACCCCGCCGATCTGTGTGAGGGGTGTCGATTTCGAGCCCCCCCAGCAATTCAGACAACGCGCCCAGGAGACGCTAAAATGCCGGTTTGGGCCCCTCCCCCCCCTCGCGCGGTCAATCAACTAGTTACAGTAACCAGCAAGAAGGATAACAATCAACTAGTTACAGTAATCAGCAAGAAGCAGAACTGTAACACTGGAAACTACAAGCTACAACTGGTACAGGAAACTGCGAACCCCGCTCCTACAGCCTGGTGGCCCCACAAGGGGGCCGGCGGACTTTCGAGGTGGCGCAGTTGGTAGGAAGCATCTGAATTTTTTACACCATTCGCAACTCCTTTTTTTGCAAACTCCTTCCAACAACGTTTCACTTCCCTTGCCTGCTTCACTCCTCTCTGCTTCACCCCTCTCGAACCCTGCAAAACAACTCCATAGAAACAGTACGTAACTCTCTCAGACTTCCGAAAGCATTCGAATGTTTTGACAATCCCATACGCAGTTCTTCCCCTCCTCCCCTCCTATGCCCCCTCGCCGCGACGGGGCGGGCGGGGTACCCGAGGCCCTCCGAGGACGGCGGCGACGCAGGCGAAGACGGCGGCGACGACGGCGGCGACGAGGACGCCGCCCGCTCGCCCGCGACCGCGAACTGCTAGCTGCGCAAGGCTCCTCGGGCCCCCCGAGGCCCTCGGCGACCCTGGACGATCTTCAGCGTGGCCTTTGGCGTCCCCTAGGCGTCCGCTGGTGCCCTCGGCGGCAACTCCACGGTTCCTCGGTGGTCGCTCCACGACCCTCGGTGACCCTCGGAGGCCCTCGCCCTCGGCGGCCCCCGGCGGACTCCGGCGGCCCTCCGAGGCCCTGCGCAACCGGCAGCTCATGTTCCACCGCTCGGACCTCGCGTCCGCCGTGGTCGGCTGCCAGCTGCTGCAGGCGCCTGGCTGGCTCCTCGTGGCGATCGTACCCCTCGAGGAGGGGCCGTCGAGCTTTCGCGTTTTGTTTTCTCGGGCAGGGAGGCCTCTGGGGGAATTCTCGTCGCCACAGCCGTGTTCCCAGTGAAATTCCAGTCAGAACGCATCCCCGATCCCCGGACCCATGCCTCTGGCGACGCGAACATAAATATGCGCCACACGTTAGGTGTTCGATTATGGACCCCTTGTTGATCGCAACCATCCAGCTTTCGCGCCGAAGACCGCTGGAAACCGCCAAAGACCGCCAGAAACCGCGCAAGGGCGTCAGAAGTCCGCCGAAGGCCGCCGAGAACCACCGAACACCGTCTCCAGACCGCCACAGGCCGCCGAAGACGGCCCAGGAGCGATAGGTAACAAGGGGTCCCATGGTCGAGTACGTAGCATACCGTTCTGGTCATTTTCGGCTCTGGGCGTCGTCTCACGACCCTTTGAGCAGTCAAAACACGGCTTGGGAGGAACAGCCAGCCCTGGGGCAGGGGTCGAGAGCCGCTGCCAGGGCCAGGGACCCGACAAACTTCGAGTCGTCGAAGGCAGGGGGGGGGGAGGAGGTGGAGGAGTATGGGCAGAGGGTTCAAGGAGAATGAGCGAGGAACGTGGAGGAGGAGGAGGAGTAGGAGGAACGAGAAGGAGGAGAAGGAGGAGGAGGAGGAGGCCTTCTTATCACCTCTTTTTCTGGACCTTGGGGGGGGCCTCCTCGTGTCGGTTGGCCGCGGCACGGGAACGGGCCATGCTAGTATTCGGGTGGGTTTGGGGGAGCAGTCTCGAGCGGATCCAGCTTGGAGGAAGGGGGAGAGAGGTGGAGGTGGGAGGACGGGGAGGAGGAGGGAAGGAAGTGGCCTTTGGCCTCTTCCTCATCAGCATCCATCTTTTCTTACGGTGAGCTCATCGTCGCACCACTAGGCGTGTCCGTACGGCTGTCCAGGCGTTTCGCCTAAGATCCTCTCACCTCGTAACTCGTGGTTCCAAAGCTTGGAGCTCTCAAATATTTCACGGATTGGGAATTACCCGTTTTCAAGACGTGGCTCTCGCAGTAACACCACGCACTTTCGTTTCAACGCGTCAGGCAGTTAGTGCAAGGATGGAGGTCGGTGCTTTTAGTGCCGCACACATTCGTCCCAACATCTTGCAGTGACATGGATGGAGGGCGGCCCCATGTTGGAATGTGGCTCTCGCCTGGGACTTGGGTCTGCCGAGGTTTCGCCTGGTGGGTGACTGTGGGCGCCGCCACCTCGTGGAGGTTCAGCTCGGCGCGGAGGCGAGCGGACGCTCTTGAAGCAGATTTCCTGGCAACGGCTCTGGCCACGCGGCGTGCACCAGAAGCGAGCGGGCATCCCTCGAGCGAGTTTCCCGGCAGGAGGAGGAGGAGAAGGAGGACGAGGAGTATGAGGAGGAGGAGGAGGAGGAGGAGGAGGAGGAGGAGGAGGAGGAGGAGGAGGAGGGAGGAGGCGGAGGAGGCGAGGAGGCGGAGGAGGAGGAGGAGGAGGCGGAGGAGGCGGAGGAGGAGGAGGAGGAGGAGGAGGAGGAGGAGGAGGAGGAGGAGGAGGAGGAGGAGGGAGGGAATGGAGAAGGAGGAGGAGGAGGAGGAGGAGGAGGAAAAGGGGGAGGCAGCAGCGTTGGCAGCGCGATGGTTGCCGGCCGCGAGCGGGCACGCCTGGAGTGAGTTTCCCGGCGGGCTCCCCGGGCAGCAGCGATGGCAGGGCGAGATGCACCTGCAGTGAGGGTGGTACTCGTCAGAAAAGAGCCCAGTCGGCGAGCTTAGTTAGGGAGCAACGCTGGGAACGCGACGTGCCCAGCGTTTGGGCACGCTCGGAGTGATCTTCTTGGCTTGCTCCCTCGCAACAACACTGTCACATGATCGCTGCTTGCTGCGAGTGGGAACGCCTGGAGTGAGTTACTTGTCGAGGTTCCTGGCAAAACCGCTGGCCACTACACGTGCGTCAGAAGCGAGCGTGCTCGCTGGGAGTGCATGAGGTGCGCAGGACGCGAGCGGATACGATTGGAGTGAGCTTCCTGGCAGCAGCGCTGGCCACGCAAGGTGCACTGGAAAAGAGGACACGCACGGGAGGGGCACGCGAGGCGAACAGGAGGGACTCGGGAGGGACACCGGCGCAAGACAGCTGTAGAGAGGAACCGTAGAGAGGTTGCTATTCAGCAGATGGTGAGAACCCGCAAGGGAGTGGCGCAGCACAGTGGTTACCTCAACACTGAACATGAAAATGAAGTATTTTTTCTGAGTGGTCTGAGCAGATAGCATTGTGACAACATTATGCTCATTCTTCACCATATGAACCTAGGTTGACGGCCCCCCGGGCGACTGTTTTATACTTGTGCCGCATGCGAATCCTAGCCGATCCCCAGCCTTCCCAGATGCCGCGTTAGTTTCGGGTGTGCTCTGTGGAGATGCCGGGGCACCGATTAGGAGGACGTGTGATTTGATCCGTTTTCATCGACTGACGCTCTTCGTTATCGTTGGTCCGCTGGAAAGAATTAGAAGTTATTTTCAAAATTATCGTCATACGGTCCTTATCGATATGATATTCGGTTGGTCCCGTAGGCTCTAGCATGGCATGGGGCAGATCCTTTTGTGGCTCTGTGGGTGACCTCCAGTGAGCCTCGGGCATCCTGTTTTTGCGGAGCCCGCTGAGGACCTAGAGACCACTGTCTCAGCTTGTCATTACTGACCGCAGGGTTCTATTAGTGGAGTGGGGGCAGTGCCGAGTTTGGAGACAGGGGAACGCGACTGCGATCTCTGGCTCCAAATTCGTCGCGCGCTCGATTTCCGTGGCCCTTGGTTGGTCTCCGCCGAGTGGTCTCCCTCCCCTGCCTTTCCTAACGACCCCGCCCTTTCAGCTCGTGAGGTTTTCCATGCCAGCGGTAACCAGCTTGCGGACGAAGTGGCGAGCGACCACGGAGCTCTGGGATATCACGGCGGCCTTGGTTTAGACGCAGAGCTCGAAGGGCGCTTGCCGACGCTGACGCCGACCCCAAGCGTGCCCCGGCGGACTCTGACATCGTGGCGCCGTCCTAGGCGCGGCACCAAGCTCGCAGTCGTCCTGTGGGCCGCTCGTTTCGCTGCACGCGATGTGGAGCTGTCTCCTCCAAACCTGTCTTCCTTGGAGGCCGTCGGCAAAGTGTGCCTTCCTCTCAGGACCAGGCCTGTCAGTTTTCCTCGGGCTGTCGATGTCGGTGCCAGTCGTAATCGGTCGTAGTCCCAGGCACAGAGTTGCACGCGTTGAATCCCCTCGCCCGCTGGGATTGGCACGATCTGCATTTCTGCCTTCGATGCGGTCGCTCCGCCGTTCGTGGACGTCCGCCAATCGGCCCACAAGGGTGTTCCAGCAGTTCGCAAGGGCCTCGAGAATTTGGCCCGCATTCACAAGGGCCGCTCCCGAGCTATGCAGGTCCTCCTGAGATCGCCTTGCAACCCTGCCCACGCGCGAGTGGTTGAAGGCTCGGCGAGGCAGGCGGTTCGCGCCCACGGCGAGTCAGATCCACAACCCATGCAGCCCTTTGGCGGGGGCCCTTCCGCGCCCTCCGCCTGGGAGGGAAGTCGGGCCGGGGCAGCGCCCGTCCTGCGTCCTGCGTTCTCCCTTCTGAGCTCCCGACGCGCGCGCGGCGCGGGCGGCGGCCAGGGGGCGCCGCTCGCGGAGGCCCGAGGCGCGCGCTCTGGGCGACGTACGCCGCGCTGCCCGCCGACGGGATCGGGCAGGCGCACTAGTGAGAGGACCTCCTCCTCCTCCTCCTCCTCCTCCTCCTCCTCCTCCTGCCCACAAGGGGGAGGATGCCAGATATGGCGCGAGAGCTCCAAGCTTGCCACACTCCCCTTTGCATCCTACCGTTCCCCCTCTCCTCCTCCTCCTCCTCCTCCTCCTCCTCCTCCTCCTCCTCCTCCTCCTCCTCCTCCTCCTCCTCCTCGTCCTCCTCCTCCTCCTCCTCCTCCTCCACCCTCTCTCTTCCTCCTTCTCCTCCTCCTCCTCCACCTCCCTCCTCCTCCTCCTTCTCCTCCTTCCTTCCTCATTCCTCTCCTCCTTCCTCCTCCTCCTCCACCTCTCCTTCTCTCCTCCTCCTCCTCCTCCTCCTCCTCCTCCCGCCTCCCCCTGCCGTTCTCCCTTCCGTCTCCTTCCCCCCCGCCCCCTTGGAGAGCCGATCCAGCGGAGGCCTTGCTCACCACGGCACTGCGCGAGGGCGGCCGCTGCGGGCCCGCGCTGGCGGGCTTCCTGGCAGGCCTGCTGCAGCCCGACGTGGCGGCCGTCCGCGGCTTCACCTCCGAGGAAGCGCGAGCCGGCGGACGGGGTGGGGAGGAGGTCACCGGAGAAACACGTACCCATACCGCTACCCTTCCCTTGTTTTTCCCCTGTTGGGCCTCCTGGGCGGCCCTCGTCGCCACCGCTGGATTCGCCTCGAAGTTCTGGTCAGAACGCACCCCGGGAGAGGTCTGGGGAGTGGCGGGTATATCGGTACCCTCTGGTTTCTCCAGGAGGAGGGGATGGAGGTGGAGGTAGAACCTGATCATGAGATGGATGGGATGGAGGCGGAGGAGGAGGAGGAGGAGGCGGAGGAGGAGGAGGAGGAGCAGGTAGAGGTATCATTGGTAGGAGTCACCGCGTCAAGCAGAGGGCGTGCTACACGGACCCAACCGAGGTCTCGCCCTTGCTACCGTGATTACCTCGTCTGTTTCCTCGTTGTCCCCTCTTCGTCCTCCTTCCTTTTCTCTTGCTGAGCCACATCTCGAATTGCTGCCTCACTCGAGCCTGTTCCGTGAGTCGTGCAATGCGTAAGCATTTCACAACAGATCGCGCTCTTTGCCACAGGTACCATTATCCGTGAAACACATCGTCCATAGCTATGGGCAAATGTTGCAGATGGGTTGGGTGCGTCGCCAGGGTATTACAAGCAAGAACAAGCTGTCACTTATTAATCCTCGACCTCCTCGTCCTCATAATTCTGCTCGTGCTGCCTTCTCATGCATCCTCCCCCTGCCTCATCCCCCTCATCATCAGCATCATTTTACAGCTCTGCCTCGATCTGATATCGTCATCCTGCCTCCTCCTTTCTCCTCCTCCCTTCTCCTCCCTACACCTGCCTCCTCATCCGTCTTCTTCTCCTCCTTCCCTTCCTACCTCCTCCGTGTCCTCTTCCTCCTCCTCCTCCTCCTCGGCAGCCTCACAGGGGCCCGCGAATTGGCGACACTTATCAAGTTCGCAACCCTCACGGGGGGCGAGGTTTTGTTTTGGTCCGCGTATGACGTCATTCCGCTGGAGACCACTTGGTGGGATGCCGCACGCGCGTCTGTAGCCCGGCGGGCGCGCCCGGCTCCACGCGCAAGTGCGGGTGGGAGAGAGGAGGGCGGCCGCGGAGGCAGAGGACGGAGGGCTGCCCGAACTGCTGTGGCTCGGCAAAGCGGGAGCAGGGAGCGGCGTGCTTCGAGGAGGGGCCTCTGTTCTTCGGGCAGGAGATCGACTACAGGACTGATTTGCCCCAAGCTTGAGGTTTTCCTCGAACCCACGAGAAAAATACGCTGAATAGTCGGTAGATCTACGGAGCATTGTAGGTATGTTTCGTAGATCCGACGGGGAATCAATTTTGGGGTAAATCGATCATGTAGCCGATTCCCTACTCGAGTACTGGAAGGGAGCGGTCAGTCCAGGCTGCCGAAGGGCGGACAACGACGGCTCCAATCGCGAGGCACGCCACGCTTGGACTGTCTTGGAGTCGTCGTATCCGAGAGGCAATCTTTGTCGCTGACGCCTTGGGCTATCTTGGAGGCCATGCCAGACCGTGCTGGGCCTTGTTGGGGGCCAGCTTGGAAGCCATGTTGGGCGTCGGGGGGGCGGCTGAGTATCCTTTGGTGGTCCAGCTCTGGTGCCCAGCTCCGGGGCCCCCTCCTCCCCCGCATCGCATGCCCACGTCGCCCGCTCCTCTGGTGGTCGGGAAGCGGTTCTGCTGACGTCGCGAGCGTGGATGTTGGAGCAGAACATGGAAATTCAAGCAGGGCGATGTTGCACGCGCCGCTCGCGGATCTGCTGGCCTGCGGGAGTACGGCCAGAAAGTTACAGCGCCCGGCGCGGATGAAGGAGATGGAGCGGCACGTGCCCCCGCAGGTATCGGCAGGCGCCGACGCCAGCATGGGCACGCAGGCTTCAGCCAAGCGGTTTGCCGCAAGCGGGGTGCCTTGAGAAGCCTTGAGAACAGCGAGAAGGACTGGGCTTCCAGCCAAGCAGGCGCGGCCGAGACGTGAGAGGCCCGCTTTAGCGCCGCCCGATGCGTGCGCAAGTGTTCCCGCGGGGGCCCGCCCGCTTCAGCGCCGCCCGATCGTCATCGTCCTTGTCATCATCATCATAATCAGTCTCTCTCTCTCTCTCTTCTGTTTTTTTTTTTTTCTCTCTCTCTCTCTCTCTTTCTCACCCTCTCTCTTTTCCCTTTTCTCTCCTGCGGCTGATTGGCCAGGGTGAAGATGAGAACGGAGGGGGGGGCAGGCGTGCGCATGGGCATGTCGGTTCTCGCGGAAAGGTGCGGGCACCGACGTGCTCGCGTACATGTCGGAACGTGGACCGTGACAGGTCCATCGTGAGACAGTTGGTTCGACGTTGCCGGGTTGTTGGTGGCAGCGCCAAGGATGCAAGGGCAGCGCGCAAGGGGTTGTCCAAGTCGCCCTTTTCTAAAGCTGGGGCCCAACGTCGTTTAAAGTTGGCGTTCGTTTGCGAGCTTCCTGTCGTTGGAGAGCCGCTCTGACATGTCATCTGGGGCCTTCTGCCAGGGAGCCCTGAAGCCAGACTCATGCTTCCGCAGTGCTCTTGGTCTCCAGTCTTGCCGGGCGCGGTCGCCGACCACAACAGCTCTCACTTTACCGTCCGCCGCGGTCGATGGTGATGGACGCCGAGACGAGAGTACTCCAGATTTCGTAATAAAGGGAGGGGGGTCTCATTTCGGGGGGGGTCTCTTCCAGGCTATCTTGGAGGGCCTGGGGGGTCTGGGGACGATGTTTTGGAGGGTTCTCCCACGGGGGAGGTCTGAAATGGCTTGTCTTGGAGGATCCAGACCCCCTCCCTTTTATTACGAAATCTGGAGTATCCGTCGTGGCTGCGTGATTGGTTCTGCCACTGGTTGCGGATTCTCGGGCACTGGTTGAGCGGAGAAGGAGAAACTGCCGCACCGCTGGCCCCTTCCTTCCGAGATCCTTCGCTGGCATTTGGACCGTGCGCCGAAGAGCAGGGGAATGGAAGGTGGATGCACGATGACCATGAAGAGGGCACGCAGCGAAGACGACGAGGATAAACACGACCAGGCACGCCAGGGTGGGAGAGTTTTAAGCGGAGGCAGCGACGCAGACGAGGCCATATACAATTATATCGCTCGACGGACAGGAGGAAACAACAGGAGATGGAGGAACACGATGGGGAGGAATTCGGAAAAGGAGGAGGGGGGAGAGGACGAGGGCTCTAGGCAAGGATGAATCATGCAAGCTATGATGAGGGGGCGATGAACCAGGGGGCGGAACACGGTGATAGCATACGGATCGCGGGGGGTGTTGCTTACCAGTGACACCATCGACATTTCTCTCCCCCGAGCATGGCGCGACGGCGAGGGACGAGGGGCGAGCACACTTCCGCCCAGCGCCCAGAGTGCGGACCGCCCCAGTGCGCGTCTTGCCAGGGGGTCTCGGCGTAGCCTGTTCTTCCGCCGCCGCCTCCGTCGTCGACGTCGCCGTCGCCGTCGCCGTCGCCGCCGCCCCGCCGCCGCCGCCGCCGTCGTCGTCGTCGCCGCCGCCGTCGTCGTCGTCGTCGTCGTCGTCGTCGTCGTCGTCGTCGTCGTCGTCGTCGGCTTCGTCGACGGCCTCGTTGTCGACGGCCATGCCAATCAGTGGACGAGGCGGCGACGAGGCGGCGATGGGTGCCCACTGCGCGAAAGACCAGACATACCACCGAACTGTTGTTAGAAATCGGCGAAGAGCCCCCTCGTGCAAGAATGGTATGGGAAATGAGGTGCAGAAGTGTCGCCGTCACATTGTCCAAGATTTTCTCGAAACGTTGTAGTGTCAGTGTTCTGTGCTGGCAGGCCGTGCTGTCACTTGATCAGGGTCCGTGATTGCTGAAAGCTGTGGTTGTCGCGAATTTCAAGAGAATTCGGATCAAGCAAGTTTGGCATAGGCCTCTCAGGGTCAGCACTGCACATCCGCTTCAGCTGTTGCGCCCATCGTCGCTGATGACTGGAGAGAGCGCGTTCCCCACAAACCCAGTGGATGAGGAGGCCGTGATTGTAGATGTCAGGACTCTCCCAGCAAGAATTTCGAAAAAGCCCCCGCTGATCCCAGTGACATTGGTTCAGCGATCTGGTACGACGGCGACCACAGAGATGCTATCGGAACGCGACTGCGACTTCTCCGACGCCCAATTCACCGAGCTCGACAGCAGCAACGTCCAGGCGGATTCGGAGCTTCTGAAGGGGGTGGGCGCGAAAGGATCATGAGCGACGAACATATCTTTATCCATCCATATCTATGTCTTTGCGGTCCAGATGCCTCACCGTGATCCCGTGGATAAGTATTCCTATGGATGCGTTCTGTGCGATGTATTTGCGCTCAGCCGCAGCGGAGCGTACCTGCATCCATGGGGTCACGTCCGAAGATTCTGGCCGCGAGAGCACGGATGTGGGTAGGATATGTATGCCGCTTATAGGAGGAGGACTGGCGCTCACAAGCAAACGGCTTCTGTTCCACACGGAGCTCCACTCTGCTGCCGCCGGTCGCCGTCGCCCCAAGCTGATCTAGATAGCCGCCACGTTGTTTGGGAGCCTTTAGCGAGCGCATGCTGTGATTCAAAAGCCCTGCGGCGATAGCCCCTGGCCGCCATGCAGCCGGGCTCCTCCCCGCGGATGTAAAGCATCTCCTGCCATTCCGGCCGCGAGGGCTAGTTTCACACACCAAGCTTGGGCCCCGTGAGCCCCCACATCCATGGTCCGCTGGCCACCCCACTGACCAGGGGGCCAAGGAACAGCCGAGCAGACCCTCGGACAGCCAGCAATGAATACCAGTCAGCAGGTACTGAGTGTTCCCATCCATCCTGTGGTGTTGGTCCTTGTTCTGAAGAGACAGCGCCCCCCGTTCACTTCTCCCTCCTCTTCCCCGTCCTTCCTACTCCCATCGTCATCATCAGCAGCATCAGCGTCAGCATCAGCATCAGCATCAGCATAATCATCAGCAGCAGCATCGTCATCATCAGCGTCACCATCATAATCATCATCATCATCATCATCATCATCATCATCATCATCATC